GGGAAAGATGGGGAGGTAAGGGAAGCAGGGAAGGGGGAGGAGAGAGGGTGGAGAGGAAAGTTCACTGAAACACATGGGTGGGTGAAAGTGGCCCAACAGCCCCCTGTGCACATGTGCTCAGCTGTACACACCCTGACAAAAGCCACCACATGCACCACTGCACAGTCACCCAGGATGGAGCACAAAGATTAGTCTGGGGGCACCCAGAGCCCTGCCCTCTCTCCAAAAGGCAATGTGTGGGAATATAGAGGGGCAGGGACACCCCTCTCTTAAGCCAATAAAACAGCCCAAGAGAAATTCAGGGTCCTCCTGTACAACCCCTGATATGTTAATTTCCCCAAAGGAGAACCATCACCGCATCCCAAGTCCAGAGCTCCAACAGGAGTGAGTGGTAGCATGAATGACAGACCCACCAGCTTCCTCCTAGTCTTTTTCCTTTCACCCCATACTCTGGAGCTTCCACCCATTATCAACTGCCCACTCACTATCAATCCTGGCCCTCCCACCCAGCCCTTACCTGCGTGCTCTCGCTTCTTCCTGCCCACGGCATCCCCAATGATGCTCAGCAGCTTCTCTTCGGAGGCCCCTGCCCGCAGGTGGTCCCGCAGAGATACCTCAGAGTTCCCAAAGAGGCAGACCTGCATGGCAGTGAGGATAGAATGCCTTCTTCATCCCTAAGCCTTCATCTCCCAGCTTCTGAGCAGCTAGCCCCATCCTTTGAGTGCCCCTGAGCTGAGAATTAGTGTCTAGGCCTCCTACAGAAGGATCCTGCACCATGAGGTACAGAAGGTACTCTTCTAGCCAGAGAGGCTAGAAGGACTTCCCAAGGCCTGTGTCTAACTTATTCATACTCCCTTCAGTATGTACAGTGTACTTGGAAAAGTTAAACAGATGCCAACAGAGACTGTGCAAAAAAAAAAAAATCCAGCTCTATACCTTCTGAGACATTTGATGGAATGTCAACATAGAAGAGGAGTCCAATCAGTTGGAATCCTGAGGTCTGCAGATGTAGCATAGACATTCCATTTTCACTCAGCCCTCTCCTGGTCCCTTCACTTGTGGACATCACCTGCCTGCCCCTATTGGAGTCTGTGATCCCTGCTTGGTAGCTGAACTGTTGAAGACTAGTGGAGGTGACACCTTGTCATCGTTTAAACTTGACTCAATGCTTCTCAGCTTCTGTGAGAGGCTGGGTTCCATGGATGGTCAGAGACACTCCATAAGAGGTTATTTTTTCCTCCATAGGAAAAAAAGACACTTACTATCCATAAAAAACACCTACTATGTGCAAGCTCTGTACAAGGAATTGTGGACAGAGACAGAAGAATGTTTGACAGGACAAGGAGGGCAGAGATTGCTGGAGCAGACACCAAGGAAATATCAGCCATGGGGCGTAACTACTTTACTATTCTGGGTACGCCTATTACCACCTCCATTAGGCCCCAGGTTCCATTCTCTGCCTTCTCTGACACTACAACACTCCATCTGTGGATTCTATCTTGTGGGCTCCTCTCTAGTTGGCTTCTGCCTGGGAGGAGATCAGATGGGAAAAAGGACTGAGATCTTTCTTTCCTGCTTTGACATTTCTGGCAGTGGCTGCTTCCCTGCACAGTTTTCATCCCAACCAGCTGGCCTCTCCTCCAAGGCTGCAACCCTCACTGGGACTCAGTGACATCACTTCCTCCCCTTCCAACCTTGGTGGGAACAGCTGCTTGATGCTACTCATCAGAGTGCCTCGGTGCTCCTTATTGGTTCCCTTAATCCTATACACTATAAATAACCTCTTCCTTACTTTCTCTTCAGAAACCCTTCTTGCACTTCCTGCTGGGACCCTGACTAATGTGGACACCACCTGCAGTCCTACTCAATGTTTTGTCTCCAGTCCATAAAAATCTTCAACCTTGTTAAGAACCCACGGATGGTTCCTTTTGGAAGTCAAACTGGATGCATCTAAACTCAACCCCTTACCAGTCATCAACAGGTCCCAAGACCTAGCTGCCATCTTGACACCTTCTCCTTCCCCTCTGCATGCACACCACCAAGCTCTTTGATTCTTCTCACTCATCTTTACCTCGTAGTCTTATACATTTGGAGCATCACTGACTACACCTAATTAGTCTTCCTATCCTTAAATCCAGCATGGACAGGGATCATGTCTCCTTCTTGCATAGCTCCCTTCTGTCAACAGGGCATGTCCTGAATGAAAGCCCTCTACAGTATGACCGGAGCCCCAAACTCCACCATTCCTAAAGGCTCCTGGATGTCCAAGTGCTCTTTCTCAAAGCCCACCAACCCTCACTGCCTGCCTACCCATGTATCTGGCTAAGGATCACATGCTTCCACACATCACCTCTTTTAACCTACCAATGGGTTTTTAATGGCCTTAAAGGGAATGGGCCCTCTTCCCCACAAGGCTGAGCACATGAAACATGTTTATTAGACATACTTACGTATGATGGATTCAGAGCTGAGCCCTTAGCCTGGTGGAAGGGGCCAACTAGGGTGAGACAAAGCACACATAGCTCCTTCAAGCCCTCCCCTCTGCTAGCACTGAGTGCTGGAAACAGGTTCCCAATAAACCAGAAGCCACTTCATGGCTCCCCAAAAGGAAGGAAGGAACCAGGGTGACAGTGCCAGAGGGGACACAGTTCATTCTCTCCTGCTGCCCGCATGATCCCCCAGAATCTGACACTATTGCACCAACCATACCTGGGCCCTGCTAATCTCCCCTCCAATCAGGGAGCTCTGGTGAGAGGTAAGATGAGAACGCTGGGCGGCAAGGGACACTCACCTTGAGGTTCCCATCAGCTGTGATTCGCAGTCGGTTGCAGGTCCCACAGAAATGCTCAGACATGGATGTGATGAAGCTGACCTGGCCTTGGAAGCCAGGGATTTTAAAGACCTAGAGGGAGAAGGGCAGTGGACAGGTCACAATGGCCCTGGTTAAGCTGGCCATCCCCATTGCCGCACTCTGACCTCACTGCAGCCAGGATTGTTTCCTGGCCTCACACTCCTGCTCCCTAACCTTGGCAGTGCTAGACTCTTCCTCTGGCACCTTCTCCAGCTCCGGCCACTGCTGCTGGATGGCATCTAGCATCTCCTTGTAGCTAACCATCTTCTTGAAGTTCCACTTGTTGCCTGTATTTTGTTGGGGTGGCACAGGAAACTTTGAATGACGGTTGAAAGGGTCCTTGCCAGATGGATCAAATCACACCCACACTCAACTTTGAGAATGTCTTGTTGCCCATCCAGGACCCTCCCACCATCACTGAGACCAGCAGTATCTAGTTGCACCCAACCTCACCCATCACATATAGCCCCCAGACCCAGCTTCCTCTTCCCTTCCTGTCATGGTGTGTTACTGACCATCGAAGGGCATGTACTCTATGAAGCGCACATCTAGGGGGAGTCCCTGGGTCAGAGCCACGAAGTCCAGGAGCTCATCCTCGTTCAGTCCTCGCATCACCACACAGTTCACCTGGCCAGGGGTGGGGGAGGGCATGAGAGCCTGTCTTCACATGTTCTCTCATAGGGATGGCCCTTGGGTGTCTGGCACCTTGTAGAGAGACCCTCCCTGGGGTACCCAGTCCTTGCCTCTTCCCATGTAGTTCTCCTGCAGTTGGGGGACTCAATGGAGTTGCTGCTTGTCCCCCTTTTCCCTTGGAGAGGAGGGCAGGGCTGGATGCAACTAGGAAAGATAGGTTAACTGCACTGACTGTGGCAAGGACCGCCAATGGATCAGGTGTCATGGTCTCATGGCCCCCAGGCTAGGTGAACTGTGTGTGAGTGGAAGGCCAAGTCAGTGCAGGGAGGCAGGCAGAAGTCAGCAGCAGTGGCAGGTCCTCACCTTCACAGGGTTGTAGCCCAGCTCAATGGCCTTGTGGATGCCCTCCATGACCTTGTGGAAGCCTGCAGGGAAAAAGAGAACTGCCAGTCCAGGCACTTCCTCCCTCTCCCCAGCCCCACCCCATATACAGGGTGTATCCTCAGAGAGTACCTAATCTAGAGGGTGTCAAGCGTTTTCTGTAATGAGCCAGATAATAAACATTTCAGGTTTTGCAAGCCAAGAGGGAAACTTGAGGATCCTATGTAGGCATAAGCCATGAAATATTTTTTATTAATTTCAAGTATGATAATAACAGAATACAATTTTTATAATACAGATCTATAAACAGGATGGAGAAATGGCATTCCATTTTCAGGAAGAATATTTTGCTCACTTGGTATTCACAGTAAATGTTCCCAATCATTAATTGATTATAAATGTTAAACAGGCAAAGGGCCAGATTTGGCTTGTGGGCCAAAGTATGCTGAATCCTGGTCTAGTTGTGCCCTAAATAGTCTAGATGAGAAAACTGAGGCTGGAGTGATGCACTGACCTGCTGGAGGCCTCACACTCAACCTTGTAAGATGCGTTCTCCTCAAAAGTTCATCATTCATTCCCTAACAGTCTTTAAGCCCTACTACATGCAGGTGCAGCTACAGAGCTGATAAATAATTATTAGGGGTGTTGCTCTCACTCCCTCTGCAGGTGACTTTAGGCTGCTTCTCCTAACCACCCTCATCACTCTCATGTCCCCAGTCATTTGAGCACTGACTGCCTGTTGGCCCCTCCTGGCCCCCAGCCTGCAGAGCCTCGATGGTGGCCCTAAGGGGGGTGTCCATTAATGGCCTCCATAGATACCTTACAGTTTTTTCAGGTTGCCCAGTGAGAGAGGCAAAGGCAGGAGAATGAAGTTTTGCTCAAATGCTACCAGGCTAACAGAGAACTGGCAGTTTGCTTTGTGATGTGATGCAGGAGCATATAGGAACATGAATGGGGGAAAACATGATGTCAGGAGGTACTGCCACCAATGTGTGTGCCAAGGAAGAAGACAAGAAAAGGGGAGCATGTGGAGGTGAGGGTCAAGCTCACCAATGCTCCTGTGCCTTCCCACTTGTGGGTTCTCTGCTCAAGGCCCCTCTAGACCAGCAGTCACCACCTCCTCCTCAAGGCCCCTCTAGACCAGCAGTCACCACCTCCACCTCAAGGCCCTCCCAGCATTCTCCTACTGAGTTCTCTTCCTCCCGTGGCTCTTCAGTTGATACCACAAAGGTCATTCTGTGGGATTTTATCTTTTGGGCCTCAATGACCAGGGAAGTGCCTTATATGTCTTCTGTCCTTTCCATAGCATGTGGGATACCCCTCTGCAGGGTGAAGAGACTCAGTGAGTGCTTCCTCAACACACAGAAGGGTGTTAACAGGCAGCTTCATACCAGGGAAAGGAGGTAGAAGGCAGTGGGGCTGATCTTGACATGGTTTCCAAAGAAGGGGTGGAGAGCTGGCTGTTCCTGGAATTACTCTGGCCCTCTGAGGCCTTCAGTTGTCACCCTTTACTACCCAAATCAAAGGGTATCCAGCCCCCAGAAGCTTCTGCTCCAACATGAGGTCTGTGGCCAAGAGAAGTCAGGCACTGGCCCAAGGAGACCCACAGCTTGAGCTTGGCTTTCCCTGTTGACCTTGGCTGTCCAGAAAGTTCCAAGGGGGAGAAAGGTATGTGAGTTCTTGAAGCAGGGAGTGGAGAGCAGAGGCTCCTACCCAGGTAAGCACAGGGACAACCATGGGGACTGCAAGGGACCTCTACCCAGTAGGGCACACCCAGGACCTTGCATCTCAGGGTGATGACTTCCACATTCCTTCAGAGTTCAGTAGAGGGTGACCAACCTGGCCCAGTTTGCCAGCTATTGTTTGGGTTTTAAAGCTGAAAGTCTCATACTGGAAATGCCCTCTATCCCAGGCAAACTGGGGTTGGGATGGGGAAGGTGGGTCACTCTAGTTCATTAGCATTTAATCCCCAAAGTCCCCAAGGAACATTTGGCAAAGGTAGGGAATGAGGGATTAATACCTAGGATCATCCATAGCCTAGATACCAAGTGGAAGTATCCAGGTCATTCCTTAGCCCTAGCCATACAGGCCTAGAGATGGAGCAATGGTCCCATCCTACATCTGCTCACCTTTCCTCCGGACAATGAACTCAAACTTGGCAGGCACAAGGGTGTCCAGGCTGATGTTGATGGCATTAAGACCTGCTTTCTGAAGCTGGGGCAGCAACCGGGCTAGGTTGATACCATTGGTGGTGACGCCAATGGTCCTCAGTCCTTCCAGCTGATGGAGCTGGGCTGGAAACACAACAGGGGGATGTCAAACTGTCTGCTCTTGGTGAAGCCAGAAAAAGGGCTGCAAAGCAAAACTTTTAATCTCAAACAGATAGAGGGAAAAGGGGCTCTCAATAATCTGTTTACTGGGTTGGCTTACTAAGAATGGGAGAATAAAAGCCATGATAAAAAGTAACTGAAAGATGAACCACTGAATGCTCACTCTGATGGATACTCTGCTGAGAGCTTTGCATGTATTAGCTTATTAAAGACTTGGAGCAATGATTATTGTTATTTAGTAAATAAGGAAAGAGACTTAGAAAGATTAAAACATTTACTTAAAGACACACAGCTAATAAGAACAACTGAGACTCAAGTCCATCTATACTGACTCTAGGAGTATGCATTTCATAACCAATTACACAGGTCCTTTGACTCTGGATAATAGAAACAAAAATGTTCAAGTTAAGTGCTAATACCTTCATTCCACCAAAAAATCCCAAGAAATAACAGAAGGATTTAAAAAAAAATCCATAGCTACACTGGAAGGTAAGAAAGAGTACCACAAATGGCCCAGAAAGATAAAGAAATACTGAAAGAGGGAAAGTAGATGGGGTCAGATGGAGAGAGGAGACCACCACCCCAGGTGCACACAGGAGAAGGTTTAGTAAAATGTGGGAGGTGGCTAGTGTGTATCAAACTTGGTGGTCATGTGTGCAAGGCACAGAGGGTCCAGAGGCATGTCAAGAAGGTCACCTGGCTGGGGAACTGTATTTGGATGAGCTGGACAAGTTGGCCTCATTTGTCCCTAAAAGCAGAAGGAAGTAGCAGAAGAATTTTCCCCAAGGCTAGAGCCCCAGTGTAGACACTTAAGGCAGCCTGTGGAACAAGCCCTGAGTTGCTGCTGAAGCAGACATACAGCCCTGAACCCCAGCAGGACCTCATGCCCCTCTTCACAACCTCAGCACAACCAGCATGGCCAGCCAGGCCACCAGAAATCTGAGGCACTAAGTGTACACAGCCAGGAATACCACACAGCTAAGAAGAATACTGTGAAAGAAAGATAACAAGTACCACTAATAGAAGAATGGGAATAGGAAACAATGAGATGACAAAAGAGGATTCTTTGAAAAAGGAGAATTATCCTTACTGGGATGAGTATTGCATCATGAAAACAAACAAACAAAAGACTAACGTGGACTCTGAAAAATAAACAAAGCAGATAGTTGTCTCTTGGTATCTGCAGGGGTACCAAACCCAAAGATGCTAAAGCAAGGCAGTGTGACTCCATGCTGTCTTTGTCCACTGGTGCCTTGCCACAGTAATTACTTGTCTCCTCACTTATACAACTGATGACAAAGGCCCAGAAAACTAGTGTGGGAGCTCACTGCAGGTGAACTCTAGGAAGCTGCCAAGCCCTGCTGGAAGAGGAGGTGAAGATTACAGGTAGGGGCTGATCGCCCTCAGGCATCCACTCTTCCATCCTCTGCATCCAAAGCCCAAGACTGGATTAAAGTCAATGGTGACTGCCTCTTTCCAACTCTGCCTTGCTCCAGGGACTAAAGGCAGAGACAAGAAGGATGGCCACTTATACAACTCCAGGGGTCACATAACCCCAGTGACTGATACTTATGTGGTCTTTACAGCAAGGCTGATTGATCAGCAGGGAGATAACAAACTAAGTGAGTAACTGTGATATTCTGGGATCTGTCACTCCCCTCTTATTCCCTTGAGCTCCCCTGGCTTTCAGAAGACTAGGATCTGGTCTTCAGTCTTCTCCATTCAAAAAAGCCATACAGAATAGAAACTCACAGGGGAATCAAAATTCAAGGGTAAAGAGACATTTGAGCTATTCTCCCTTTCCTTCTCTTCCAAAAAACAAAAACAAAAATCCTCCTCTAAAATATACTCCACTAAATTACAGTAACAAGCTCAAATACATCAATAATTGCAATAAACGTAAGAAAACCAAACTTACTAGGTTAGAGAGATTTGCAGATTTGATGGAGGAAACAAAAGCTGGCCATATGCTGTTACAGCAGATATACTGAACACTGGAAAGATTAAAGCAAAAAGATGAAAACATACACAACAGGCATACTAAAACCAAAAGAAAGGTGATAAGACTTTGGTAAAATAAAACACATAGATCTTAAGACCAAAGTATCATTAACAAGAAAGACGTAGCATATAAGTGATAAAAGTTTCAATTTACCAAAAGACATGACAATTCTAAACATGTACAAATCTTGTAATATTGCCTCATATATATATATGTATATATATGGAAAAAAACAATAGAATCCTGGGGAAAAATGAACAAATCTACCCACTCATATATCATTGGCAGGCCAAGTAGACAGAAAACCAGCAAGTAGACAGAATCACCAAGCCAGATACAAAGGAAAAATGGAGAATTCTATAGCCCACAGTTAAGAGAATGTCTTTCTTAAGCATACAGAAACATTCACTGAAACTCTCAATCTTCTAGTTTATAAAATAAGCCCCAATAAATTGTACAGAAGTATCTTATAGCTAACATTTTGTGATTAGCATAAAATTAAGTTAGAATTTAATAATAAAATATGAGCTAAAAAGCTCTATATATTTGGAATTAAAAACATTACTTGTATACATCTCATAAATCAAAGAAAAAATAAAAGCAAGTTCTAAAGGAAATACAAATCAAAACTACATTAAGATTCCACCTCACTTCTATCATCAAGAATGACTACCATCAAAAACACAAACAACAAAAGATGCTGGTGAGGATGTGGGGTAAAAGAAACCCTCATATGCTGTTGGTGGGAATGCAAATTAATACAACCACTATGGAACACAGTATGGAGGCTCCTCAAAAAACTAAAAGTAGAACTTCCATATGACCCAGCAACACTCTTAGTGATATACCCAAAAGAATATAAATCAGGTTATAATAAAGACCCCTGCACACCCATGTTTATTGCAACATTACTCACAATAGCTAAACTATGGAAACAGCCAAGATTCCTCACAACTCATGAATAGATTAAGAAAATGTGGTACTTATATACAATGGAATTTTATTCAGTCATAAAGAAGAATGAAAATTTATCATTTGCAGGTAAATGGATGGAACTGGAGAACATCATATTAAGGCTGCGTGTTTTCTCTCATATGTGGAATATAGGCCCAAGAAAAATACAAGCAATATTATGAAAAACAGGTCATGCTAAGGGAAGTCACTAACAGGAGAGAGAGGGTAAAAGAAGGAAGCTAATAAGGTGAATGGTTGATGTATTTTCTATATAAGAATTAATATAGAACTTTTAAACCTGTTGAAATCACCATAAGAAAGAGACTAAGAGGAGATCCAAGATGGCAGTTTGGGTAGGGAATCAGAAATCTTAAACTCTGTGACTCCAGAAACCACTTTGAGACGTTGGAGCTACACTTGGTTCTAGACAATAACCTGCCAACCCATTAGGTGCACATACAATTCAAGGACTCACACTTAAAACAGCTTTTATCTGCACCTAACAGCTGGGAAAATCCCACCCGGCACAGCCAGCAAGGCATCTCCCATCCTGGGGAAAAAAAAAAAACCCTGCCAGTTCTTTTTTTTTTCTTCCTTTCAACAAGCACAAGCTAGAGCATCAATCAGAATCAAACTCTGAGACATCCTAGACCCCTAGCCTGTGGAAAGCCTCCCTACGCCGTACTACACTGAGAGAAGTGACAAGCCATTTCTTCCCACTGGCCAGCTCCAAAACTGCTTGTATGAATCTGCAGAACAAACATGTAAAATCCCACCCGGCACAGCCAGCAAGGCCATTCTTCCCATCCTGGGGAAAAAAAAAAAACCCTGCCAGTTCTTTTTTTTTTCTTCCTTTCAACAAGCACAAGGCTAGAGCATCAATCAGAATCAAAACTCTGAGACATCCTAGACCCCTAGGCGTGGAAAGCCTCCCTACGCCGCACTACACTGAGAGAAGTGACAAGCCATTTCTTCCCACTGGCCAGCTCCAAAACTGCTTGTATGAATCTGCAGAACAAACATGTGAGGATCACGCACCATGGGCAACTTCCCTACCCACCTCCTGGGAACATAATTCAATTCAGTTCCTGGGCAGACTGAATCCCCTTCTCCCAACAAAACTGAAAAGCATAAACAGTGAATTGTAATCTAACATGACAGCAGAGGTGGGGGTGAAACGCTGAACCTGCCCTGGAGAACAGGGATGGGGCAACAAGCCAACTTCCTAGAGGAAATGAACTAGCACCGAGCAGACGTTGGGAGAGGCACAAAGGCTGAGAATGGGGGTGGGGTGACAAGCCAACTTTCCAAAGCAGGGCAGGTGGTGGACCCTGGAGCTGGTCTTGTGGGACAGAGGGCAGTACTCAAAACTGAACTGCTTCACCTTGCTGGGCAAGGAGCTGACCAAACAGGATTGCAGCTGTATCCCAACCTGTCACCACACTACCCCTCCCTCCTACATTACTCACCACCAGCTGACTAGTGTACTGTACCCACTGTAACACCCCCAGACCCTGCAATCCTGCACACAAGCACCCTCCACTACAATAACAGAATACACTCAAACACACACAAGGACCACAAACCCAGAAGCCAAGTCAAACAACTGAAGAGGAAACATGCAAGAACCAGCGACTCCATCAAAAGACCAAACCTAAGAATCATGGCATTGAGAGGAGAAGAGGTACAAGCCAAAGGGGTACATAAATATATTCAATAAAATAATATCAGAAAATTTCCCAAATCTTGAGAAAAGTTTTGCCTATACAGGAAGCCTCCAGGACACCTAAAAGATTTGACCAAAGAACCTCTCCATGGCATACTATCATTAAAACCAACAAGCACAGAGAAAGACAAAAGAATACTGAAGGCTGTCAAAAGAGAAAAAAACAAATAATATATAAAGTAACCCCAAAAAAATTACAGCAGTTTCTCAACAGAAACCTTAAAAGCAGAAGGCATGGAGTTGAGGTATTCAGGCACTGAATGAAAATAATTTCAGCCATAG